ACCAAGTAATTTTGACAATAAACTAAACAGGTGGTCCATGAAACATCATGAGTCACTATATATAAAGAAAATCACACTTAAGTTCAATGTCAAAGATAAAGAAATATTTGAGAAGAAATAATAGCTCAGTTTTCATCACAAACAGAAGGATATCAGAAAGTATTAGAATATATTGAATAATAATGCTGGAATCAGAGTAACGACCCTCTAAAAATAAAGACAAGGGCTAGAAAGATAGCTTAGTGATTAAGAACAATAGCTGTTCTTGCAGATGACCTGGGTTCAATTCCCAGCACCTATATTGGCAGCTCACACTATCTGTAACTTCAGTTCCAGGGCATCCAATGCTCTCTTTTGGAATCTTCAGGTACCAGCCATGAATGTGTTACACAGACATATGTACAGGTGAGAAACCCATACACATAAAATAATTTCTTTAATTAAAAGTTAACCCTCTTGGGCTTAAAAAGTATTAAAAATAAGTAAAGTAATCAGGTATGGTAGCACACACTTAATCTCAGCATTAGGGAGGCAGAGGCAAATGAATCTCTGTGAGTTTGAGACCAGACTGCTCTACACAGCAAGTTCCAGGCCAGTCAAGGAGACCCTGCCTCAAAATAAGTAAATAAATAAAAATAAATAATAAAGACAATAGCCAGGCATAGTGTCACAGACTTTTGATCAAAGCACTCAGGAGGCAGAGGCAGCCAGAGCTCTGATTCTGGGCTTACCCAGATTACATAGTGATCCCCAAATAATAAATAAAAACAATGACACTTATCAACAATAACTATTATGATTATATATTAAGAACTCCTAGAAGTCAATAACACACAAAGAATATGGTAAGAAAATTGGCAATAGATAGGGCTGAGAAACTAACTCAGGTGGCAGAGTTCGTGAGTCCCTGGGTTCAATCCTCCATACCAAAATGGAAGGAACAAGGAACAGAAAAATAAAGAAAGGAAGGAAAGGAAGAATGAGCAAAGACCTTGAAAAGATGCACAAATTTAGGAGCTGGAGAAGGGCTCAACAATTAAGAGCCTGTACACAGGACAGGGATCCCAGCCCCATGTTGGAGGCTCACACCACCTATAACTCCAGCTCGGAGGGAACAAATGTTTCCAGCATGCACAGGCACCCATTCTCACAAGAACACACCCACCCAACATATGCATATACAGATAATTAAAAATAAACCGGGTGGTGGTGGTGCACACCTTTAACCCAGCACTAGGGAGTTCGAGGCCAGCCTGGTCTACAGAGCGAGTTCCAGGACAGCCTCCAAAGCAATACAGAGAAACCCTGTCTCAAAAACCAAAAACAAACAAACAAACAAACAAAAAAAGCAAGGTGCACACACCACTGAACCTGCACAGACCAGGGACACACACAGTCTCGGCTCTGAACTTACTCTCCATATATGATAATCATCACAGCCCTTTAATCTTCGTGCTTCTGTGTATTTTCTGTTGCTATAACAAAATGCCTGAGACTGGATGCCATATTTTAAAAGGGGGTTTACTTAGTTTCACTGTGTCTCAGGGTCACATTTGAAAAAAAGAGAACCTGTGGTTAGGAAGGAAGTCCGAGAAACTCAGGCTTGTTCTTTTCAAGGGTTTATTTTACTTTTAATGATGTATATGTATGTGAAGGGGGTTGTTCGCCCATGTACAGGTGTCTGCCAAGGCCAGACATATTAGATTCTCTTGGAGCTGGAGTTACAGGAAATGTGAGCTGCCCAACTTGGATGTTATGAACCTGATCAGGTCCTGTGCAAACTTCACGGACAAACAGTGTGTGAAGTGTATTTTGTGTGGTGCCTGGAAACGCAACGGCACACTGCCCATAGTAACTGCTGTTCCACTCTTGAAGGGGCTTCTGTACTGAAATGGCTGGCACACTGGCTTTGGAGGCCAGATCAGATATGTCCAGGAGCAGAGAGAGACTGTGCTTTGCTGGGACTCTCTGTTCCAGCAGCAGTCAGCCCCATAAGCAGTAGCAGTTAGGGGCTAGTGAGCAGGAGGCAGAGTCAGCCCCTCCTCCTACTCTCTTCTCTCCCTAAATAAGAAGGCTCCAGGCTAGGCCCCTGCCGGCAGATACCATGAAGCTCCAGGCTTCCTTATCATTTTTCCTGATCCTCACCTTCTGCCAACACCTTTACTCAGAACCAAGCCAAGGTTGGTATGAAATGGGAGTATCTACATAGACCAGGAACTGAGCAGGGGCCCTGCTGTACGGAGTCGTTTTTCTCATCCAATAGGACGGGGAGCCTGTTCAAGTCACTGACAGACACTGTCAGGTATCTGCTGTGCCAGGCACCATCCTAAGACCTGGAGTTACAGCCACCAACCAAAGACACTGCCTTTAAATTCCAGTGGGGGACAAAAGGCACACGGCACACATCATAGCATAATAGACAGCGAAGGAGTCATAGGAAGGGGAAGAGGCTTTAGGGTTTGTACTTGTGATGGCCAAAGTGAGACTAAGTAGGACAGGTGCAAGCTTAACTTTGACATGACTACCTTACAGGGACCAGGCTCCTTCCTGGGCCACTGTCTGTGCTGCAGCTAAAATCTGCAGCAGGAGCCGGAGCGGGGGAGGAGGGTAGGGAGAGAACACACCAGGACGAAGATGAAGATGATGACAGTGAATGTGATGTATCCAGACCTTTTTGTGAACAGTAGGATTCCCTTTACAAATATTCAGAGTTGGAATGTACTTCAGTGTGCACGAGCCTTGGGCTCCCCTAAGTCAGTAGCATCAGCGGGTCAAGTGCTGGCCCTACTACTTACGAAATTCTATGCCTCGGGAGTATTGCTTGATCTCTTGGAATGTCAGTTTTTTTCCTCTAGAAGATAAGAGCAACAGTTGTGTCTGCTCTATTGATCAAATCTGATGTGTGTATATTTGTTAGTGTAACAGTTCTCAATGGCTTCTCATGAAATACTTTGGTCACATACACACACACACACACACACACACACACACACACACACACACCAATAATTACAAGGATGAAAACACTCACATCTCACATAGTAACAAACACAAAGAAGCTCCTAGCACTCCTTACAGGAGCTCATGGCTATTATGGCTATTGTTGCTTGCTTGGGTGTTTGCTGAGAACTCGGAGGCATGAAGCCTGCATTGGGAACTAGGGCTGTAGACTTAGGTATGAGAAGTTTATGTTGCTGGGCCCCGTTGCTTAGGAAGAAGAGGATGCTTAGGGGCCAATTCACCATTATCTACTGCGTTTTTACTTGTTGAACGTATCAATGCTTTTTATTGGCTGGTTTTGTTTGGTTCTGTTCCCTGTTGTTGCTGTTTTGTTGAGATGGGTCTCACTGTGTAGCCCTGCCTAGCCAGGAGCTTTCCATGTCGACCAGGCTGGCCTCCAACCCACAGAGATCGTCCTGCCTTTGCCCTTCCTGAATACTGTTGTTAAAAGCATGCTCCACCTCACCCAGCCCTCAATAGCTGACTTGAACCTTCAATTAGTTAAAAAATGTGAACATTAGATTCCATTTTATGGTCAAGCAACTCAGTGAAGAAGAGATGGGTCCTTTGTTCAGGGTTACTCAGCTAGTAAATGACTGAGCCAGACTTCAAACAGTGCTCTCAAGGTTCACCCTTTCCCTGAAACCTGTCCATTCTGGAGCGGACCGAGAGAGGAGGCAGAAGACTTCTGGATCCTACTGTAGCACAATAAATCTGAGGGGCAAAGGAGACACAGGGCTCAGTTCCTTGCCATCACAGACAACAAACCAGAGACTTGGAGAAGTGTTGTCTCCACAGCCTTATGGAGTCCTGGGTGGCAGGGCTAGGCTGCAAATCCACTTGAGTCGGAATCCCAGGCAAGGGAGTTCCGCTACTTGCAGAAGTGGAGATGCATACGGCTGGGTGGGAAGAGGTGGCTGTCATGGATGGCCTCAGCCTTGCACCTTGGGGCTGTGGAAGCCTCCAGCAGAGGAGAGAGTAGCAGAAGGGGTGGTGATGGATTTGACTCCCTTAACCACTCTTCTTCTCCTTCAAGTGTCCAGGAAGCCGTTACCATCTCTATGCAGCCTTCCTATGCAAATAGGCGAGTGCCGAGCCCTCTTACTTCGATGGTACTATAACACCAAATCTGGCAAGTGTGTGAGGTTTAACTTTGGAGGCTGTGGAGGCAATGAAAACAACTTCCTGAGCAGAGATCAATGCCGGTTAGCCTGCAGACGCTCCTGACTTATCAAGCCTGTACAGCTCTCCTCGGAGTCACGCTCCCTAAGGGGTTCCCTTAGGCTTTTTGGATGTGAATAAAAAGAAAAAATGCATTCCTCTAAATTCATTTCCCTAAAATCAATTCTTTTCCTTGCAAAATACAAGCACATTGGGAAAATTCAGAAGTGCCACTCACATCTTAGATTGAATCACAGTTCCGCCCATCTGAAGATGAGAACTTTCAAAGTGAGAGGGCTGGGCTGGCACTATACCGGCCTATACTGGACAGGAGAGGACTCGAGACGTAAGAGATGTTTGTGCCAGGTTCCACATTAAGCAGAAACCGGAAGAAAGGGAGAAAAGGACTGGGGGGGGGGGCGAGATGGGGAGGAAGAAGGTTTTAAGATCGCCCTTAATTTTACAATAAGGATTTTTTTATCTGCTACTAAAGCCACGACTTATCGTTCTGTCACGCTGGAAAAAAGTTGAAGAACCCTGGTCCCAGAGTCCTTTGTTTTGCCTAGTGCAACAATTATTAATTTCTGAAAGGAGGGAGGGAGATGTGGAGCCTGTCTGCTCTGTTATTTCTGAAGCACAAAGATAGACTGTGAGTTCCTTTTTAACCACAAGGTGGCGCCAGAGAGAGCTGCTGCCACCAAGCCCCACCACCAGAAATGGAAGGAGAGAGCTGAGTCCTTCAGGTTGTCTCTTTCTAACCTGAAGCTTGCCTTTGGCTAGACTGGCTGTCGGAAAAGATCTGGGAACTAACCTGTCTCCGACCCCATGCCCTCCCCCAGTGCTAGGGTTACAGGCTGCCGCACTCACATTTTATATGTGGGTGCTGGGGACCCGAATTCGGGTTCTCACTTGTACAGCAGGCACTTTCCTGACAGCCTTCTCAGCAGACCCCTGGGCTGTTGTGCACATCTCTGAGGACTTTGAGTGCCCAGAAGCCTCGTGAGCGTATCTCCCAGTACTGTGTCTGGCAGATAGACATGCAACACAGCCAGCGGTGAATCTGAGTGATTTCAGAGGTGTTCCTCCACCTCTGAGAGGTTGTGCAGGCTCCATGACCCTTGAAGAATAAGGAGCATCATAGGATTGGTGCAAGGATCCACCAGAGAAATGCTAACACACCAGAGACACCCATGAATCATTGTTCATGACTTCAGAACGGATCTTTCCCTGGATTTTGAACCTGGATGATCCAGTTGTCCCATACTTTCCCACCCACCTAAACCAAGTCAGGGCAAACAGGGACAGAGTGAAGAGAGCAGGTGTTATGGCTTCTCCATTGCTCTAAGTGATCACTTTATTAGTTGGAGGAGGGAGATGCTCTCATGGGTCCAGAAAGAAACGCAACGGCCAGAGAGAAGGAGGGCCACGGGAATGACACCAGATGCATGTCCCAGCAGAAGCATCCTCTCCCCATTCCTCAGACTGGTGGTGGCTGAAGCTGGAGGAAGAAAGCCATGGTAGCATCAACAATAATATGTCACACTAGACACACCTGTCAGCAGTTTAAATCCTGGCCCAGCTTCCTACTTACTCTATCACACTTGCACACACAGCAATGCACCACCCAGGGGCTCTGCCTCCATTTCCCAGGAGGTTCTAGGCCCATCTCTTACACTTCAAATCAAACCTATTGCAGGACCTACTTAGGCATATCACGGTCCCAAATGACCACCATGGTCTCCTTAGAGACCCATAAACATTTATCTTCCCAGAATCTTCCTTCTGCCACCAAAATGTCCCACCATGCCTTCATTCCTTAGATCAGCTTGAGCTGAATTGACCAAATAGATGGCATTTATCCCTGTTCTGTAAGCAAAACAATTGCTTACAGAGGAGATGAAGACGCTAGGTAAGGGTTAGAGCTGAAATGTGAACCCTGGTCTTCCTGCTTGCAATGCCCACCATGCAGTTGCCATTTATGGAGATAAGAGGCAGTTGGCGTCACAGCAGAGCTCAGGGTCCTAGGAAGACTGCACTGAAAAGTATACCTTGAGATAACGACATTGGGCACATTCTCCCTCTCTGGCTTCAATTATCCCTGTGTGCACTAACGGATTCCCCTAGTGATCTGTGATTGCAACCAAAGGCTTCTCTGAGTACTTGCTCATCCTGCTTCCTCGGCCTTGAACACAATCCCCACTCACGTCTCACCAAACTGTGAGTCGTTGCCTCATCCTTTTGTGCCAGCTCAAGGCCACCCCCCCAGCTTTCTCCAACTGCTCCTACTCCATCCTCCCTCCCCCAAGTCTGAGTGACATTTCCTCATCTGTTTCCCACAGCAGTGGGCACTGATAGTGGCACGGGCCCTGTCATCTAGTCTTCCATCTCAGTCACTGCACTGCAAGCTCCAGGGAGTGGTCTCCTTTCTGTCCCAGGACCTCCAGAGCCACACTACCGGATCACCTAATGGGCCAACCACGTATCTGCCTCAGTTTCTCCCTTTTTAACACTTACTGTGTGACATGATGAGATATTAGGTGTTCTGTTTTGCACGTGTGTGTGTATGTGTGTGTGTTTCCTGCATGCATCTATGTGTACCTTATGTGTGTGCAGTGTCCTTGGGTGTCAGAAGAGGGCACCAGAGCCCCAGGGATTGGGATTATAGATGGTTGTCAGCCACTAGGTGGGTACCAGAACTAAACCTGTGTTCTCTGCGAGAGCAGTAAATGCTCTTAACCACCGAGTCACATCTCTAGTCCCAACATAATAGTGTTTTATTTTTAATCACAGACAGAGGGGAGGGTGACTCCCAGCCTTCTCCTTTCAGGGCTCGAGGCACTAAAGGTACCGAATTTAGTCCTGCCTTGCTCAGAGTGAATGCTTAACACATTTCAGACACAACTAATGGATGCAACAGAAGTCAATGACCTCAACCACCTTTGTCCACAAAGATGAAGCTTTGAGTGAATAAAGATCAACTCCTCTGTTTCCTGCTCACCATGCAAACAGATACCTTCTCCTCAACCCCACTGGCCATCGACTGTTCCCCACCCTCCCCCAGTCATCATCCCCCATGCCTTTCCAACTCCTGACTTACTGAAGTCCCTGCTAAACAAAAGAAGTTCATCACTCATCCATCAGCAAGCCTCGCCACTCTGGCCACCTCTGTCCCCTGCCTCCATCTTGGCCAGGTTCATCTTGTCTGCCCACTCACAGGTGAGAGTTCCCCCTCTCATTTCACACCTTCTCCGTGAGGTCTCCTTCACCCACTGTCCCATGTAAACACTACAGTAACACCCTTGTCTCCCCTTCCCCAGGAACACGCCCCATGGCAAGTGCCTCCCTGTCACACACGACAAACTCAGCTCGTTTATTTCTTTTCTCATGCATTAGACAATAAAACCCATCGCCCAGCCTCTTGTCTGGTTTGTTTGACCACACTTCATCCACATACTGTAGATAAATACTAGCTGAGTTAATGAAAGCGGATGTACAGACAGATTTATTATCACCATGTTTTCCAAGGTCTTCCTTTTCAGCTTGCTCTAAGTACCGCCATATGTAGATGTCTCTGGACCCGCCCTCCTGCTCCCACGTACCTCAGAATTTGGGTGTGGCACAGGTCATCTTCCCACAGCCATTGCGGCAGCATTTCATGTTGCCAGAACACTGGCTGTCCACCTGACACTGGTCCTCACAGATGCCGAGCTTGGGGAAATCCACACTGGGGCAGGCGCCCTGCTTTTCTGGGTAGGCAAGGGAGTAAGGGGAGGTAAGCTGGAGGACACGAGAGGACAATCGACAAAACATGGTTGACACTGCTGGGAAGCTGCTTCACCAACAGCAGAGATGCTTACCTGAGAGGATCGTGGGAACCTGAGCTGCTCTCAGGAGTCGTGGGGAGAGATTATCAGCAAACCCCTATTCCTGCCCTCAGATAGCTTTGAAATCACACAACCTCAGTTTGAGTCCCAACTCTGCCATTTTCTACCCAAATCTCCCAGTCGTGGAATCCCTGTCACTAACTACATAGTAAGGTTGCTACAAAAACCAATTATCCCCCACAAACACCATCCTGAAAAACAAACTACTTGATAACGATGAGCAATTAGAAGCGTTAACACCTAATTGGCCCCTGTTGTGAGCCAGGCATTGTTTAGGCAGTAGCTTATCCAATTCTCACAATAATCTTAATATTTCCTTGCATTGACTGCAGAGGAGGAAACTGAGACAGAACGTTCTTAAGCTTCGCCTGAGCCCATACAGGATGAACCAAGATTTGAGCCTCGGGAGATCTGGCTCCAGGGTGTATGCTTCTGCATAGGCTGTAAAATTCAGTGCACATGTAAGGTGACACCCATTCCCTGCCCTTACTCTCATAGGGTCACTAGCAGTCACAGTCACTCAGTGCCATGGCCCTCCCTCCATCCTCGATCCCCCGTGCACAGATAAAACCATCACACTGCACACGCCCCCACACCATGTTCCATTCCATAGAAGTACCAGGCAGGAGAAGGCCCAGCAAGGTAAGATGCACACGGTGAAGTGTGTAGGCAGGTAAAAGGCCCCGAGAGGAGAGGCTGCCAGCATCCTGACTTTGCTAATACAGGTACTCTTGGAGTCTATCCTGAGACAAGGGATTTATTCCAGAGCCAGCGGCCTTGCACAGAGTGTCCACTTATTAAGTAGATGCTTTTGAGGGCCGTTGCTTTACCTCCTGCACCAGTCTTGCAAATTGATGTCATCATGCTCACCTTGAAAGAGAGCAGGCAGTTTCAAACAGCAAGTTGCTTGGGCTCACACACTTAGGAAATGATAGGGCTAGGATTCAAACCCCTGGGCTCTTCCCTGGCTCAAGGGGCCATCTGGCCTGTCCAGACTCAGGGAAGCAGTGTCTTCATCCACATGACAGAGCCCAATGTGTCAGTTGGCTCAACTCTGAGATCTTCCCTGCTCATCCTTTTCCAGGCCCATCCATAGACCCTCCACAACCAAAAGCTCCCCCCTACCCCAATGGGCAAGTCTTCCCTCCACCCTCCACCCTCCACCGTCCATCTTCCTGCTCATATCGTCTTAGGAGTCCTAATTATAAATTCTCCCAGCCTCTGCTGGCATCTCTAGAGGAAATAGGAAAGGCAAAATAGGGAGTAGTGGCTGTGTCCACCATCAAGACCAATAATTACAAACCTTTGGGTTCCCGTTTTGTCCCCACCCCCACTTTCTAAGCCTCCTCTTTTTCCTCTTGGAAATGAGAAGCTTAGATTCCATACCAAGGTCACCTTCTTCCCTGACCACAGTCGGTGGTGTGGTGGAGGCTTGACCTCCCTCTGAAGAAGGAGTATGGTGGGCAGATAGAATAGTATCCTGGTGGTCAGCAGATAGAACAGTATCCTGGTGGTCGGCAGATAGAATAGTATCCGGGAGCTCTTCCTCCTTCAGTCCTAAAGTGGAGGAGATGGTTTTAAGGATAAGGCGGTGGGGGGCAGAAAGTAACGGAACCTCTACCAGCCACGGGATGGCGCTGTGACTTTGTGCAACAATATTTCTTTCGGTAGCTCACTTCCACAGACATAGGTAGGGTGTGGCAAAGTTCTTTCCCGCCCTCAGGGAGAAATCTGGGAAGTCTAGTCAGGCCACACGTTGGAAGGTCCTGAGAGAGGGACTCCGAAGGCAAGAGGTCCCCTGGGCTCGGGTCCCAGCCCAGACGCCACTGAGGGATTGCCCACAGTCTCTAGCCTAGGAAGCCACTGGTCCCAGGTCCCGGAACAAGGTCTGGCTGTGCGTGCCCGGAAGCCCGTCATGCACCAGAGAATCGAGCCCAACCAGGAATGGGGGACCTCCTCCCCATGGGCCGGACAAGGGAGGGCACGGGTGGATCGGGTTTCCACTGCTTCAACCTTCTAGGGTCACTGGGTCTGGGGCGCCTTCTTCCCTGAACCCGTGCGCTCCCGCCCCTCTCAGCCCTCGGTGGCCCCGCCTTGTCCCTGCCAGGTCGCTGAGGGGTTACCTTTAGGCCGGGAACAGACAGAGCTGCACCCCGCCTGGCAGCACTTGAGGTTGTCCAGGCAGTGGTTGTCCGAGGAGCACTCCTTCACACAAGCAGTATTGTTCTGGAGCTGGGGGCACACGCCGGGTTTCTCCGCTCCCGCACCTGGGATGGTGGGAGCAGACAATGCCCTGGGAGAACCGAGCCCAGTCCCACAGGGATACCCACCCCCTGCTCCCAGATCTTCACGTTTTAACTCTACGGACTTCTTCTCTGGTCCCACAGGCCCTCATACCACCCCAGAGGGCTTCATCCCCGGGACAGGAGTCTCCGACACTTGGGGGGGGGGGCTCCCTGATGCTTGGTTTCAAAGCCCCATCTTCTGGGGACTTGAGCCTCTGGCTGCCAGCTTCAGTCATCCTGGGAGCTTCCCTACCCACTGGGTCTCCGCCTTCCGCACAGGGAGAGCCTCCGCCCCTCCAACTTTCAGCCTTAGTGGTCTCCTGACCCCAGTGCATTGAACCCCAGATCCTAAGCTTCGAGAATCACTAGCTGTAGGTCCTAGGGTTCCCAAAATTTAAATTTTTATTGGCCTCCCCACTTTCGCCCCAGAACCCCCCACTTGTGAGACTTCCTTCTGGGCACTGCGCTTCTAACTGCACTCACCTGTGGCTGACAAGTGGGTGAGCAGCAGCAGTCCTAGAAGAAGGCCTGCGGCCCGCAAGCCGAGGCGACTGGCAGGCATGGTGCAGGTGTGAGCTGCAGCCTGGGTGGGGGGGATTTAACCACTCGCGCCGGGGGCGGGGCTGAGCGAGGGGTGCAGGAGGCGGGTAGGAAGCAGAGCGGGCAGCGCGGGCGCCCTGCCACCTCATGCCATTTCACAATCCCCCGGGATCAGGTGTCACTCTTGGCTCTGGTGGGAACCAGGAACCGAGACAGCTTCCGAGCCAGCTGTAGCCGGACACTTGTCCACCCCTCCCTTGTCTTCTACCTTTCTGGAGCCTGAAGGCAAGGCAGGGCAGCAGGGAGCAAAGGGCCTGGGGCTCCTTGGCTCATTTCTAAAGAGTCTGAGGTCCTCCCTGAAACGACTGGAGTCCAGGAATAAGGAGGAAAGGGCAAGGCTGCAGGGAGGCAACAGATGCTGAGGATTAAGTGCTGAGACTTGGGGTCAGACGGATCAGAATGCAGAGCCCTGTTCAAGGATTAGTAGAAGGCAGGTAGGTGTCTTAGAGGCTGCAGAAATAGCAGTGGTTAACAAAGGAGTCCATCCGACAGGGAACAGGTCCGCAAAGAAGAAACACCAGGGCAATTTCCAGCCCTGTGGGACACATTTCTGCCTCTTCCTGCCACACTCTATTCAGACAGAATGGAGAGCGCCTCAGTCTTGGCATCTTTCTCTGTGTCTAGAGAGTTAGTACTGCCAACTGAGTATGACACACAGGCTAGACATTCAGAGGCCTGACCCCAACCTAAGTTCCGAACTAAAGCTGTTCAGGCAAGATTTTGGATACACATCTCTTCCTCCAGGCTGTTTCCTCCATTCCATAAGCATTTTCTGGGTGCCTGAGGTATGACACATACAGAGAGAGTGGTAATAATGACTGTGCAAATGACAGGCACCTTTAGGGCAGATTTCCTGGCTAAAGGCACCTTCAAGATACCCTTCACCACCAGGCAAAACTTAACAGTGTGAACTGGGCCTATGCAGGGATGGCCCTTTCCCTAAAAGCATCCCATAGGGACCTGTAAGTTCCTCCATAATAAATTCCTCCCCCTTCCTAGCCTTCCTTTGTTGCCAAGAGTATCATTTTGGGGTTGACTCCTTGTCCTCCTGGCCTCTGCAGGTAACAAATGGTTCTCCTGTCTTTCACATCTTGGCTGGATTTATTTTAGCTTAGCACCCATCAAGATGTGAACCACCGAGTTCAGTTACCATGATCAAAAGGGGGCCGTCCAGCGCTGGTCGTGCGTGGGATGACAGGGGCTAGGTTTGACTTTCACCTCCACCACTTACCATTTGAAGGGCCTTGGATGAAACATTTCCCCCTTTTGAAAAGCCATTTTGTCATCTGAAAAAAATACTGATTGGGGGCGTGGGATGTGCCTCAGTGGACACAGCCCTTACCAGGTATGTGTGAGGCCTCTAGGTTCAATCCTCAGGACCACAAACACAGAGAGAAAAAGAATAGCTATTAAAGTCACATTCCATGAGAACCAGAATGCCATGCTCCTGCCCTGGAACAATCATGGAGTCCACACTTGTTGACATAGGAACCCCAGGGCAAGCTTGGCGTATGACTATAGCATACATAGCCACGACTGTCCAACAAATGATAAATGTCTACTGCTAGGAAGGCACCTGCTGAGTGAATGCTACCCTTTATGCTCCTGGGTCTCATGTCCTTGGATTCAACCAACCTCTGATGGAAATACTTGGGGACAAAACTGTGCCTGTGTTGAACAGGTGCTGACTGTCATTTCTTGTCACTGTTCCATAAACAATACGGTGTACAGTGGGTATTTCACAAGATTTAAAGCACACCATAATATACATGCGTTCTAGGCAAACACCACTCTATATTTTTATTTAATACATTTATTTTTGTAAGTGTACAGCCCACTGAACCTGTCCACACATTTTTGCCGGTGGCTGGGCCTTCTCCAAACTTTGTGTTTCTGGTGTAAGTTACTGGGGTTCAGTGTTTCAATGCCGTTTGGTAAGTCCTTTACTACGGACCACAGTGGAGTGATAAGCTTCTAGTCCGGACCTTTCTTACAGAGTCTGTCATGCTGGACTGGGTGTCTGGGCATGTGCAGACTTAGATTTGGGCCCCTTGTTAGCTTTGCCCCAGGACTTGTTGCTTCCTTGGCCAGCTCTCTGGCATCTTTCTGTTGCCATCATCCTTGGGCAGTATGACAACACTCTGAGAATAGCAGTACCCAGGATAGCCCCACTTCCAGGTGGCAAGAGCCAGGGTGGCATTTGACTCCAAGGGGACAGCACCATAACAGACACGTGTATCGTATGATACATATATGAGCTCACGGAGACTGTGGCAGTACAAAAGAGACTGCATGGTTCAAACCAGACAAATCCCTGACTGAGAACGGAAGTGGGCGTCAGGTCCACTGCTAACAAACTGTTTGAAACTGGTGTCTGCTATGAAAGGGAAAATCAGTTCTCTCGGACGGAGTATCGCTGAGTATATCAGCCACCCTCGCAGGCAGACCCCAGCCCAAGAGTAGTGAGCCAACACAAAATGAACTCCATTTTTTTTTTTGGGTGGGGGTGCACTTTTTGTTTTGTTTTGGCAATTTTTTTCTTACTTGGTTTTTTGTTTGATTTGATTTTCATTTTGGGAGAGGGAAAGAAAGAACATGAAGTTGGGTGGGAAGGGAGGCAGGGTGAATCTACAAAAAGTTGGGGGAGGGAAGGAATAGGATTAAAATATAATATTTCTTTAAAATTTAGTAAAAAATTAAAATAGCCGGGTGGTGGTGGCACAAACTTTTAATCCCAGCACTCGGGAGACAGAGGCAGGTGGATCTCTGTGAGTTCAAAACCAGCATGGTATACAGAACAAGTTCCATGACAGGCTCCAAAATTACAGAAAAACTGTGTCTTGAAACCCCCCCCCCAAATTAAAACAAATATTGCTGAGAGGAAAAGTCAGGATATGGGGAGCCACTGCTTTCTACAGGGGTCTTGTCTGGGTTTGGGTGTTTGTGGGAGACGTGGAGATACTCAAATACAACTGTGTATATCAAACTTCAGAATTCAGAGCAGCAAATGCCAAAACAATGACCAAGGGAGTTGCATGAGAAGTACCTGCAAGCACTCTCCTAACCCCAGAAGTCTAAGACTTTGTACGACCCAGGGGGGATTTTTCTGCGGGGAGGAGGGTTAGCTGCTACAGGGAAAATTGGGATGTCCTCTGGGTAGAGTTTAGTGATACGGATGCATCCACCCACTGAGCCGATGAAGGATGTTGGTAAAAGTGGCTGAAAACTGTCTCCTCCAGCTTTGCAGGCTGGGCACTGGAGACATGCCATTGTTGGGAGGGGCTGGGGCTATTTACTCTGAGCTCAGAGAAAGTCAACAGCAAGAAGGCTGAGAGCTAGGTGGGGTCATAGCCCTGAACAAGCTCCTGCAGCCCAGAGCACACAGAGGACGGATTGGTGAGCAGCTGGTTGAGCCGGTAGACCAGATGGCTACTGGACATTTATCCTTGGGCACTGCTGCACACAGCTTTCTTCCAGAACTTATCCAGCTTCCTTGAACAGGGTATTGTCAGGTCCTCGCCCACCCAGGCTCTCATGGGCTCCCGTGTTGACTGGCACTCTCTTCTGGAATATGGATTAGAACAAGGCCTGGGGAGTAGGGGGGCTAGTAGAACATGAGGAAAAAATTCTCAAGGTCAGTTATGTCAGATGTTTGGGCTGTGACTCAGAACAGCACTTCACCTTGAGGGGCTATATTTTCTTCCACAAAATGGGCATCGTTGTAGCATCTTGTAGGGTTGTTAAAAGGATTAAAGGGAAGAGGAAAAGCAAAAGCAGGGGGGTGGCAGATCCAGCTGGAGCTCGTCTATTATTAGCCCACATAGTACATTTCTAAATTTTGAATTAGTTGCCAATGTTTAAAAGTGGAGAATTGCACATAAAAGAAATAACCTTTTCGATTCTCTTAGAAATAGCACAGGACCTGGCAGCAAGTCCTCAAACCCATAAAGAAATTGTCAGCTGGAATGCAGCTCTCAGAACTGGGCCTGCACCACGATCACCTGAAGGGACTGTGGAAATGTAGCTTGTGGAGAACTAGGGTTGCAGCTCAGCTGGTAGGGTGCTGGCCTGTCACACAGGTAGCGCTGGGTTCAGTCCCCAGCTCTGCTTAAACTGGGCATGGTGGCTCACTCCCGAAGACAGGAGGGTCAGACATTCAAAGTCATCGTTGGCTACATAGCAACCTGGGCTATGTGCGAGCACCCCCAGAATGGGTCTGGGTATAACCTGAGAGTGAACCCCTGTAACAGAATTCCAGATGCTGCTGGTGAAGCCGCCACACTGGGGTCACCGTGACACAGTGCTAAGCTGCCATGCTTTCTTTTTATGAGAGAGCTATCACCATTTTGCAGATAAAAAAAAACTGTGGTTCAGTGAGGCAGAGTGACTTGCTGGTAGGAACCAAGACCATTAATTGTTCTGTGGCTTCAGCTGTTTCAATATTACATCCACCCACCCCATTCCACACATACTCCTGAGTTTAAAAAAGAGTGCATGTCATTGTGGGGCATGTCTTTAGTCCCAGAATTTAGGAAGCAGAGGCAGGCAGATCTCTGTTGAGTTTGAAGTCTTCCAGATCTGCACAGTGAGTTCCAGGCAAGCCAGGGCTACATTGTGAGGAACTACATTGTGAGGAAGAAGATGAAGAGGAGAGGGGGGGGAGGAGAGGGAGAGGGGAGAGGGCAGGAGGAAGGGGAGGAGGAAGAAGAAGAAAAATGAATTAGCCGGGTAATCAGGGTTCTGAGATGACTCAGGGAGTAAAATCACTTGCCCTGCAAGCCTGAGGACTTGAGTTCAGGCTGCAGAGTCCATAGGATGGAGCAAAACCCAACCACCTAAAGTAGTCCTCCGACCTCGGTCCTGTGACACCTGTATGTACATGCCGCTGTCACTAAAGTCCATTCACACACAACTAAGTAAAATCTTCAAAAGAGAGAGAGAGATGATGATGCGTCAAAAATTTGGGGCATGACTCAATGAGTATGAAATATATTTATAAGAGAAGGAAATAGAACACAGAGAAGGAAAGATTTACAGCAGGAGGGGCTGTTAGTCACCTGCAGACATGCCCTCTCTAAAAAGGCAGTAAACAAGTTTATGTGGAGCTTTAAGGGCTTCCCAGGAGCAAACTGGCTGCCTGCTGTACGATGGGAGCTTTCCCCCTGAACTTATGGACTC